AAATACCACCATGGACGTTCTGCTTCTAAGCTTATTGGCGACTTCTATAAATTTATCCTGCTGAACAGCCCTTCTACCCTTGCCTATGTCGTTGGTGCCAACATGCACCACGACACCACGACAACTGGATCCACCCTAGCTGGGGCCAAAAGCTTGTCCACACAATCTGGAAGGTCTCCTACCTGGGCACCAGGCAGGCAAGACAACGTACGGGACCCTCTATCATGCGTGCACACATAACTGTCTACTCCCCTAATTATTGTCTACTGTCTACTCTTTTCCCCTCTGCCTGTTTAAGCCACAGCTCCCCAGCAGTCCTCATTTAGACCTTAAATCCCTGGCCTGTGTTTCCCTACCTGTGCTAGTCCTTGCTCTCTGTGTTTGCACCTGGTTCTGCTGTGTTCCAGTTGCCCTATCCCTGCTTTTCCTGTCCCGTACCCTGATTTTACCCGTATTAAACCCTGTTCTCATCCTTCCTCACCTATGTATCTCTGCCTCCTTTTTTGCCCCCCCTTACACCCGGTCGTGACACACTGAGCCTCCACACAGCAGAAGTTATTAAATGTATTAGAAACACTGACCTCCATTTACACACATAAGCATGAAAATGCAGGGAAACTCACCTAATTTAAAAGTGTTGCTCATCCAGCCAAGGAGTTGGGAATAAATAGCAAGGAACAGCATGTTAAACAGGCTGGGATCATCTGTAAGGCAAACAGAGCAAATCATATGTCCTCATTCTCTCATCAGTCTTTACAGATATAACATGATATTAAATAATGATTAAATAAAGCGTCCTTGGGCTTTTTTCCCCTGAGATTAATCCTGCCGTCCCCAGGGCCCAGCTGCACTGTGACGTCAGGCACAGTAAGGCCCATGATCCGAGGGCAGCGATGGTCAAAATACAGGCCAAGGAGTCTAATGCCCCCACAAGTCAGAGCATCCCTCAAAACCCTGTGGCATAATGAAGGTGAGGGACGGCGCATGTCGGCTGGGGGGGATTCCGGGCTGTCTGCGTGGTGGCCAGGTGCCCCCCCCCAGCCCGTACACCCTACATGTCACCCTACATCAGGTCCACACAATAACATCCTACTGGGTAAAATGTCAGGTGCCAAAGGTACAAGTGTAATCTGTCAAACACCATAATCTGCAAACTCCACACAAAGAGCAAAGGTGGGATTCGAACCCCCAGCCCTGGGCCTGTGTGCCACAGAAAATGAAACAGCTCTAAACCTCATTCTGGTCAGAATTCTTAATATGCCAATGGACATAAATGTTAATATGAACAAATAAATCCACATAAATATACTTACACAGGAAATCACCCATGATTTCAAGAACGTCTTCAAGTCGTACTGTTCTTTCCCTCCATAGGGAGCGTATTATCCAAAACACACTGACACCAACTGAATTAAGGGAAGATAAGTTTCAGTCACCAAACACAGACTGAAAAAACAGAATTGTGTTCAGGGGTCATGTGTTTAAAACCCTGCACAGCACTGTCACCTGGGGGTTCTGAGTTTAAATCCCATATCGGACGCTGCACTAAAAGTGCACAGCAGATTTAAATGGGTTATGAAAGGGTGTTTCAGTTGAGTATTGCATCATAATTGTTTACATAGCACACTTTTAAAAATCAACATCATTTCAATGCTCAAGTTTAACGTTTGTGTGTTTAATTCACTACAATGTAGCAAATAAATACGTCTATACCTAGTTCTGCCCCAGTGTTCCTGACGTTCCAAAGTCTAAAACAAATTTTAAATACATACTTTACAAAACCTGAAAACATACGTACCTGGGAATAAAACCATGATGAAAAGAAACATTAATAAAGTGGAAAATGTTGCAAGTTGTTCTCTCCAGGCTAGATCTGAGTATTTTGCCATATAAACACTGACAGCAACTAAAATAAAGTAGGAATAGAGTCAGTCACCATGAAATTCATGTCAGAGTACAAGCACAGAAGTGTTTACTGGTCCCACCCAGGCCTGTAACCGGGGGGTCCGGGTTTGAATTCCTTATTGAACATTGTGATATGAAAAGCACCTGCAGGCAGAGGCATCATGCTGATAGAGACTGAAGGGGCTCGGGGACTCTTGCTTTTTAGATTTAGTTTCCAGATTGTTTAGCCTGTTTCACACTATTTCTTGAGTTACAGTGCATATAATTATCATTGCTAGCAAGGACCCTATAGAATAGAACAAACATTATCTACAATCCTATATGTGCTGTCTAAGGAACATGTCCTGTCAGAATTACTCTACAGTCGGGCAACGACAGGCAAGCCTAACCGCACATGACGACGGAAAGGGACTTCACCCTATGTGTAAAGCGGGACTCTGGTTCTGTTCTGTTAGGCAGAGTGAGTCAGCCTCTATGAAGCAGGAATGGATGCTATCTTCTCTCTACACAGCAAATGTGCCAGTGTTAAATTAACACTGCATGGCGTCTATATGGGACCACAACATTCAGTGTTACCTTTAACACTTTTCAGTGTGCAGTGAGTGTTGTTTTTACAGTGTTAATCTTTATGAACTCTTATAGTGTTCAATTTACAACCTAGAGTGTTAAGACAATGTGTCTCCACCTCTTCCCAACTTCTAAGCCCATATAGGTGACACAGAAGTACAAAATGCCCCATTTTAATGTACTCTCATTTGAACTGATTTGGGCATTCAGCTGCTGTGTTTTACTAACCCACCATAATAAGAAAGACTCAGACCAACATAGATTTTTCTCTTTTTATCTAAGTTTTATTTCAATTCAGCTCCTAATAACCAAAGAACTCTCCTGAGGACAATCTGTGGTGTAGAAGTGTGTGAAATATATGACACCAGTCACCAAACACAGGTTATGGCGCTAGACTGTGTTAGACTGCATACTGTAACATAATTATTTAGCAGGGCTGAAAAAAGATGAGAGCTATCTTAATGACTGAAGCAGTGTATTTCCGCTAAAGCAGATATAATGGGTGGTGACCTTATTGCATTTAGACCACAACTTGCGATAGAAGGACAAATCAAATCACTTTGCTCATTTAATATTAAGATTTTCATTAAGCTTAATTTTTGAAACCCACCACGATCTAGGATGTTATGGAACTGATATTAGTCTTTACCACATTTTATTATTTGTTAGTCTGGTATTGTTGTATGCTAATAGATCTGAGCAGTATGTTTGTTTTTATATATGTGCAGGCCAACAGAAATCTCAATTGTAGAGATATATAAGGTCAAAATGATCTTCCCAGGTTTAGAAAAGAAACCAAATGACTGGTTTTCCATAGCATTTTCCTACCTGCCAATGCCCTCTCTAATGAATACATAGAGGCTAAACCATCCCACCTGGTCCCTGGCTGGCACGCAAGAGCCATTTCTGTGGTTTTTGCTCTCTTGCCTTATTCATCACAATCGCGGTGGATTAAAAAAAAAAAATCTATTAAGGCAAAAGCAGTACTGTGTCATGCTATGCAAATATACATCCATGGCATAGTCTACAGAGGAGTGGGAGGTACCAGGAGCTACTCAGAAATGGGTATCACAACTGTTCTGACACCTTTTCACCTGTTCATATCATCCAAGGGAAGGACTGACAATCAAACAAACCCCCACACCATTAAAACATATACTGCCCTGGAGATTCAATAGCAACATGCGACAAGACCACCGCTCTCTAATTATCAAGATCAGTCAAAACCAAGACAGAACAGCTTCACCATAAAACAAGAAAAAGCTGTAAGGTCCTGTTTGGTCAGACTCTTTCTCATGATGGTGGGTAGATCTGGGATGGCTCTTCTGATGCTCATGACTTCTTGTGCACATATTAAAATGGGGCAGATATATGGAGGTGGAGACTCTTTGACAACACTCTAATTTGTAAATTGAACACTATAAGAGTTAATAAACATTAACATTGTAAAAACAAGACTCACTGCACACTGTAAAGTGTTAAAGGTAACACTGAATGATGTGGACACATATAGACACCATGCAGTGTTAATTTAACACTGGCACATTTGTCGTGTACATGGTGCTTATATAATTCTCACCAAATCAGTGCTACATTTAACACTTTACAGAGTGCAATGAGTGTTGTTTTATAGTGTTACATTTTATTAGCTCTTATAGTGTTCAGTTGACACTAAAGAGTGCTAGGTCACTGTAATTCCACCTCTTCCCAGATTCCAAGCCCACTGCAAGTTAGTGCGCTTGGAGAGGAGGTTAAGGGAGAATCGGGCTGAATTTATACTGTTGCCCTATTCAACACCGTCATGGTTAAAAGTTTAAACAAGGCAGTACCCTGTCATGCTATGCAAATATACATCAGCACTATTGGTCTTCAGGACCTGCCAGACTTTTGACTGACATTTTACAATA